TGGCAACTTCCATCCATCCAGTTCCGGTCAGGTGTAGAGGTGCAAAGACAAAGGATGACCTTGGCTTTTTAGAAAGAATTTTGTTATGGCTACATATCATCTAACTCTGTACCATCCCCCCTCCCATTTTCCCACAATAGAAAATGCATAGTAGAATAATAGAAAGTGTGGCAGGCCAAAGATCCAAAAGAAAAGATGGCTGCAGGCCTGAAACCTGTCTCTGCAAAGGAAATGCAGCCAGGGCAAGGGAAGGGGTGCAATCAGAACACAGATAAAATGTGATTTAATTCAATTTTAATTTTATCCAAGTGAAATCCTGTTCATTTCAATTAAGTTTAAGTAATTCTATCATGTTCTCCTACGGATTTCATCCTTTTTGCTGCTCTACACAAATAAAACTACGCTACCTACCGTGACCACTTTTGGTAGTTACAGGTGGCTTCCGGTTGTGTATATTTGCACCAGGTGGGAACACGGAGTAAGAATTCCTCCCTGGCAAGACCACTTCCTCCTTCTGGACTCAGGCCCCCATATCCCTGTGAATGAGGCCAGGGGCCATGAAATTGATGAGCAAAATTGGTGGAGTCAACATCCTAGGCATGAGAGTGTATTGCCACTTTGGGGCTGTTTCTCAACCTGAGCAGGGCATGAATATTGGAGAAGTCTCCTTCTCTGCAACTGAGAATGTTCTGTCCTCACTACATATTACCCTGCGTGTAGTTCGACATGCAGCTAAACCCTCCTATCCTTTAATAAACCAGGCAGTGTATGTAGATCTTGATACCTTATTAAAAACAGGATGAGGTGAAATATCGATGCTATTGTAGAAAGTTAGCACCTGCCCCTCCCCTAGAAGAATGAAATATTTTCAGAAATATTAAAAAAAGGCAGAATATTATATTTTCCTGGATGATGTGGAAGAAAGCAGCCCCCACTTTCCTTAATAACTCACAGCATATGCCAGCACTTAAGAGATAGAGAGAGATAGCTCTATTCATAAGCAAATTCCCCACAGCAAGGTCTGAACAAAGGTAAGATTAGCCCTCAGCCACAATGGGAATTGCCCAACAAGCCCCTTCATTGCATCATCCCAAACTTCAACCAAACTTAGCTCAGGCAAATGCCTAGGATTTGTACATGGGCCCATGGGAATCTGACAACAGCCAATTGAATACATGTTCTTGTACAGGAACAGGAAGCTTAAGTGCAAAGCCCAAAAGAAGGTATAAAAGCCACCCTCTCTCAACTCCATGTGGTCAGCTACACAGAATCACATGTGCTTGGTGGTTCTGTTCATCATTAAACCATTTTTCCAATCAGCCTCCATGTTTCCAGTGTCTTTATCCCAGCTTGGAACTGGACCTGGATATTTCTTTCAACACTATGTATGGGATGTAGATTTTATTTTTGGAAGAACATATGTCGCAAACTAAGCTGGATTCTTCTAGATGTTTCTGTTACCTCAGAACATTACAAAATGGAGTCTGGCTTCTCAGGATGCACTATTTTTTGTTTTGCAGAATGAGGGATAATGGGAAGTAGAGATGTCCTGTAGGGTCCCAACACCATCAAATCAATTCCCAAACAATGAAAGATTTGTGTTTGGTCACCAGATGGTACATAATCTGGTTTGATAGCTAGTGAGGGTGCCCCTTCCAGGATCTTGTGATTCTATACAAAAAAAGATGGCGCTGGAATTGCCTAAAATCTTGGGAGTGGAGGAATCAGCCAAAAGGAGAGATGTGCCTTCGTGACCCTGGCAGATTCTGGAAATAAAGCAGCGTTGGAGTCCTCTGGTGCAGGGGTCTCCAACCGTGGCAACTTTAAGTTTTGTGGACTTTGCTGGCTGAGGAATTCTGGGAGTTGAAGTCCACAAGTCTTAAAGTTGCCAAGGTTGGAGACCCCTGCTTTGGTGGGTTTGTTTGATTGTTTGTTTTGTCTTTGCAGGGAGCCCAGCTGACAAAGCATCCCTGAAAGCTGGTGACAGAATCTTGTTCCTGAATGGCCTGGATATGAGGTGAATTAGCAGCTTCTTTGCTTTCCCCCACAATTATCTCTGGGGTTTGATGTCCTTCTGACCCTGAGCTGGCTTGGACACATCTTTTCAACTCTCGCCAACGGCTCCCCTATCTGGGGAGCCCACCCGTATTCTCACAGGCCCTCTTGGTGCTGCTTCTGTCCCCGATTGATCCTGTGTTCTGTTCCGCAGGAACTGTTCCCATGAGAAGGTGGTGTCCATGCTCCAAGGCAGTGGGGCAATGCCCACCCTTGTGGTTGAAGAAGGCATTGTTAGCTTTTCCAGTGGTAAGCAAAGGCTTGGTCATAATCTCGGACGGTTAGTCTGCTTTCTTCATCTTTATAAGAGCCGTGGTGGTGCAGTGGTTAGAATGCAGTACTGTAGGCTACTTTTACTGACTGCTGGCTGCCAGTCAGACTGAATCCCACCAGACTCAAGGTTGACTCAGCCTTCCGTCCTTCCGAGGTGGGTAAAATGAGGACCCAGATTGTTGGGGGCAAGAGGCTGACTCTGTAAATCGCTTAGAGGGGGCTGCAAAGCACTGTAAATCAGTATATAAGCATGGGTGGGATTCAGCCGGTTTGGATCGGTTCAGACGAACCAGATGCTAATTTTACAGGACTGGCTTGCCTCACCCCCACCCCTACGCCAGGAGTCTCCATGCGGCCCTTTTTGGATGCCAGGAAAGTGCAGGGCCCACGCAGAGGCTCTGGGAGGGCAAAAAATGGGCTTCCTGGAAGTTCCAGGATGGGAGCGTTTCCAGCCTCCGGGGGGCCTCTGGAGCCCGGGGAAGTCATTTTTGCCCCCTCAGAGGCTCGAGGAGGAGTGTGAAGACGCCCCTCCCCCCATTGTTGTGCAGAAGGCCAAGTAGACCATGCCCACCCTTGCCACAACAACCTGACAGAGAACCGGTTGCTAAAAATTTTGAATCCCACCCAGTTACAAAATGGGAATGTCTTTACAGGTTTTGTTTTCAGACATGCCATTTACTGTTATTGGCATATAAATGGAAGAGCCAACATGGCACTAGGCCCAATTTTCTTTATATGGGCTCGGGAAAGATGGTTTGATCCCATGGGAAAAATAAAAGGGCTGTTCTACTGGATGAACAAGGAATGGAGATCATTATAGTCCTAGAACAATCACAAAATTGGACCAAAATGGAGCTTAAAAAAGAAACTTTCTAAGAAGAGAAACTATCTAAGGATGAGGTACTAATACCACTCTATAAAGCCCTAGTAAAACCACACCTAGAGTACAGCATCCAGTTTTGGTCACCACACTATAGAAAATATGTTGAGATTCTAGAAAAAGTACAGAGAAGAGCAACTAAGATGATGCGGATACAGGAGGCTAAAGCATAACAATGAACAGTTGCAGGAACTGGGCATGGCTGGTCTAGTGAAGAGAAGGACCAGGGGAGACATGAGAGCAGTCTTCCAATATTTGAGGGGCTGCCACAGAGAGGAGGGGGTCAAGCTATCTTCCATGGCACCTGAAGACCAGACAAGGAATAATTGATGAGGACTTTTCTGACAGTGAGAACAATCAACCAGTGAAACAGAAGTTGTGGGAGCTTCATCACTGGAGGCTTTTTATGAAGAGACTGGACTGCCACCTGTCAGAAATGGTGTAGGGTCTCCTGCTTGAGCAGGGGGTTGGACTAGATCAGTGGTCTCCAACCTTGGCAACTTTAAGCAAAGCTGGCTGAGGAACTCTGGGAGTTGAAGTCCACAGGCCTTAAAGTTGCCAAGGTTGGAGACCACTGGACTAGATGACCTACAAGGTCCCTTTCAAGTCCGTTAATCTGTATCTGTATCTGATGCAGCATGATGGAATATTACAGATGTTTTGAGGGATATATTTGAGCATCAACGAACTAGAGAGTTATCATACATATCTTAAGTAATCCTTACTGGAAAATCATATATTTGCATTGTTGAGCATGTACAGGTAGTCCTTCGTTTAGTTATCGTTCAAAGTTATAGTGGCACTGAAGAAAGTGATTTATGACCTTTTTTCACACTAATGACCATTGCAGCATTCCCCACGGTTATGTGATCAAAATTCGGATATTTGGCAACTGACTCATATTTATGACGGTTGTAGTGTTCCAGGGTCACGTGATTCCCCTCTTGCAACCTTCTGACAAGCAAAGTTGTTCAGTGAATCTGACTTTCCCATTGACTTTGCATGTCAGAAGGTCGCAAAAGGAGAATCCCATGAGCTCAAAAGACACTGCAACCCCCATCAATGTGAGTCAGTCAGTTGTCAAGCATCCGAATGTAGTTCAAGTGCCCATGCTGAAATGGACATATATGTGAAAAACGGCCATTAGTCACTTTTTTCAGTCCTGTTGTGACTTTGAACGGTCGTTAAGCGAACTGTCATAAGTCGAGGACTACTTGTAATAGTAAAGTTCCCTTTGAAATTTCTTAAGAAACAATCCACATATTTCACATAAAATCAAAGACACACTTTTATAGGCTGCAGAGATTTAAGTGCCAGTGTCAGGGTTCCAAGTAAGACCCCCAACGAAAGACGACCCCGAGGCTTCAGTTTCCCCCAAATCCCATTTTATTAGAGATGTCCTATTGGCACATCTGGGAAAACCCAAATCTGAAAGCTTCCAGGTTCCCCCCCAAAACGAAAATCCAAGTGCCTGCCCAGCACCTACATGTCCATCCCATGGCCCAATCAAGCACCGTCCAAAACTGGAGATGCCTCCCAGTCACACCCCACAAGGTGCTGGGCCAAACGTCCTTGACTCTCTCAGAAAGGAATGTTATTTTGATTATCTATCTCCATACCAGGGGTGAAATCAACTTATCTTCGCTACCGGTTTGCAAATGTGAGTGCATACATATGCACACTCACTTCATTCACATGCGCCACCTCCGCACATGTGCAGGACGTCCTGTGCATACGCAAAGCCTCAAAAACAGGATGTGATGATGTGCGGGCGGGTGGGTGGAGCCTCTCGCCACCACTGCTACCTGTTTGCCCAGACCGAATAGAACTGGCTGAATAGCTCCATGCACCATACTCCATAATTATATGGAGTAATCCCCTCCCCCCAATTTCCCCACAGCATGGAATGTGCAGGCCAGAAGGCCCAGTGCACAAGATGCCTTCTCGGCCCTCTTGATTTGTTGCAATGAGCTTTGTCTTCTGTTGTAAGAGAGACTTGCTTCCTGTGCCTAGATGGTGAGTCCTCAGAAGCACCCAGCTCCTCCTCAGCTCTCACCTCCTTGCAGTGGGTCGCTGAGATCCTGCCCTCCAGCATCAAGATCCAAGGAAGGACCTTCCACCAACAGCTGGAACATCTGCTCACACCAGCGGAGCGCTACACTGTCTGCAAAGCCCTGGAGAGTTTCTTCCAGCACAGGTAAGGTGATGGGGATTCCGTCCATCCAAGGGAACGATTCACCAGGTTCTGCTCCCTTGTACTCTTTCTTGCTTAGGCTCTGTGTTGGGACTGAGCCAGGGGTGGGTTCCAGCTTCTGTTACTGCTGGTTCGCTCAGGGATGCGCTTCAGACGCACACACGAATTGGGAGTGTGCATACGCAGTAGTAAAAAACAAGAAGCTGGCACCTATGCCTCCGCCGATAGATCCGGTTTGGGGGCATGGCCAGCCAACTGACTACCTACTCAGCCGAACCGGTCTGAACCATGGCCAGCCAACGTCTAGATCCACGTCTAGATAAGCCCCACACAGCTTTGGGGAGGAATTGTGGGGCTCGAGGTTCAAGGCAGGAACCCAGAGCTGGTGCGGGGTTATCATTCACAGCATAATGTCTGTGTCGGCTTCACCAAAGCATTTTCTCTGTCATGAAGTGAAAAGCTTGCCTAAGCCTTTAGTTTCAAAGATTGAGGCAATGCTACGCACGGTGTAACTGTTAGGCCTGGAAGCTATCTTTTGTGTTGGGCCTTCAGGCTGCCACAATTAATGCTGGGGAAAACTGGGAGGGGGGATTCTATGGAGTATGAGAGATATATAGTCTAAATAACATTCCTTTCTCAGAGAGTCAAGGACATCCTGCCCTGCATCTTAGCTGTATTAAATATTTTATTTCATTTTCATTTTTCATTTCATACAGTCACATATATACTGTGCATGATTGAGGCCATATAACATTGAACAATAAATTCCCCAAAATACAAAACCAACATAACGTTTCAACCCTCCATACACCCTTTCTTTCTCCCCCCTCCAACTTTCCTTTCTCCCCTCCAATATTCCCTTCTTCTACTTCCCCTCCCCCTCTAACGCTCCTTTCTCCCCCTCCCTTCCATCTCACCCTCCTTCCATTCCCCTCTCACTCCCTCTCTACCCCTCTCTCTTCTTTCCCTCTACTCCTCGCTTCGGTGTATTTCTACTATTCATCGATATATTCAGCTTTTTAGTTTATACTAAAAATAAAAAAATAAAAAAAATAAAAAAGGCAACAGTATGCAAGTGCATTCATATTGTTTTTAAAAACTGGCACAAACTATATTTCCCCCCTCCCCCCTATGATCCCACCTCCCTTCCCCCCTTCCGACTTCCAGAGCCCGTACCCGGCATAGCTTTTTATCAAACACAGTCTAGAATGTATTAAAACCAAGTAAGTTAAAAGAAAAAAGAGGTAATAATAATAAATAAATAAAAACAGGGAAAAGAAAAAAAGAATAAGAAAGAAAAAGTCAGTAACTTCTCTGCATTGAACTCAGCTTCTTATCATCTTGAATGGTGTGACTGGGAGGCATCTCCAGTTGGGACGGTGCCTGATTGGGACATGTGATGGATAGAGCCAAGGTGGCGCAGTGGTTAAATGCAGCACTGCAGGCTACTGCTAGATCAGCAGGTCAGCGGTTCAAATCTCACCGGCTCAGGATTGACTCAGCCTTCCATCCTTCCGAGGTGGGTAAAATGAGGACCCAGATTGATGGGGGCAATATGCTGACTCTCTGTAAACCGCTTAGAGAGGCCTGAAAGGCCTATGAAGCGGTATATAAGTCTACTGCTATTGCTATTGCTATTGCTATGTGGGTGCTGGGCAGAAGCTTGGACTTTCTTTTGGGTGTGGAAAATTTGGGTTTTCCCAGGTGTGCCAATAGGGCATCTCTAATAAAATTGAACTTTTAGGAACCTCAAGCCTTGGAGTCTTCTTTTGTTGGGGTTCTTATTTGGAAACCTGAGATTAACCGAAACCTGACAGTAACATCATGTGACGTTATTGTATTTCTCCCCCCAAATTCTTTAAACTGGCCCTGATGATTGTAACTAACAAGAAGGCAGATACCTGTGGAACAGTAGAAAAATGTGAAGCACAATTCCTAACATGAAAAACAATCCAAGAGTGGCCAGAGAAAGGTTGTCTCCCCTCCATTTAACATGTCCAGGCCGAGCAGTGGTTGTCTAGGGGCTTCCATTTGTATTCATGTCCTCAGGCCCCTTCCAGCTCTTCTCTAATGGTCACGTGATTTTTTCTGAGATTTGGATTTTCTTCCCTCTGACTAAAGAAGTCAACCAGCTAAATATAAGCCAGCAGTGTGTAGCAGCAGCTAAAAAAGCCAACACAATCCAAAATTGCATTAACAGAGGGATACAATCAAGATCTAATGCCACTCTGTAAAGCCCTAGTAAGACCACACCTAGATTACTGCATCCAGTTTTGGTCACCACACTATAAAAAAGATGTTGAGACTCTAGAAAGAGTGCAGAGAAGAGCCACTAGGATGATGAGGGGACTGGAGGCTAAAACATAGGATGAACAGTTGCAGGAACTGGGCATGGCTGGTCTAGTGAAGAGAAGGACTAGGGGAGACGAGAGCAGGATTCTGATATTTGAGGGGCTGCCACAGAGAGGAGGGGGTCAAGCTATCTTCCAAAGCACCCGAAGGCCGGACAAGGAACAATGGATGGAAACTGAACAAGGAGAGATTCAACCTAGAAACAAGGAGGAACTTTTTGACAGTGAGAACAATCAACCCATGGAACGGAAGTTGCCCTCAGAAGTTGTTGGGGCTTCATCACTTGAGACTTTCAAGAAGAGACTGGACTGCCATTTGCCAGAAATGGTGTAGGGTCTCCTGCTTGAGGGAGGGTTGGACTAGATGACCTATAAGATCTCTTCCAACTCTGTTAATCTGTTATCTGCTTCCTTCCATGTCCCCTCAGGAACATTGACACCTTGATTGTGGATGTCTACCCTGTCCTGGACACGCCCTCCAAGCAGGTGATCTGGCAATTCATCTACCAGCTGCTAACCTACGAGGAGCAGGCCCACTGCCAGCAGAAGATCGCCAGGTTCCTTGGCTACAAGTCCTTGGCAAGTGGGCCATCCGATGCTGGTGAGTTTGCACCCACGGGAGCCACTTCTGGACTGCCCAGCAGCTCATGGTATCCTCATTGTGCATGAAGTATGGATTGCAATGTGTATTTGTGCAGATTTGTGAAAAAATATGTGTCTGGCCATATTCTATGAACGAACAACAAAATATTGCACACAGTTAAAAAAGAACAATGTGCACAGATGGTTTTTGGAAAGCGGGTAAGAGAAGCTCTCCAAGGAATGGCTCAGGAACCGTTAGCGGCAGTTTGCTAAAAAGAGGAAGTTGCTATGAAGGTTCTGGGTGGTAAAAGTGGGGCAGGAAGAGAGGCAGGAAGGATGACCTGGAGGTATTTCCAGATAACCTGAAGGTATTTCCAGAAAACCAGGTGCCTTAATTTCCAAAAGAATAGAAATGGTGGAAAGAATAGCATAGCATAGCATAGCATAGCATAGCATAGCATAGCATAGCATAGCATAGAATAGAATAGAATAGAAATAGAAATAGTGGAAAGAATAGAATAACATAGAATAGCATAGCATAGCATACAATAGAATAGAATTAGTGGAAAGAATAGAATAGCATAGAATAGCATAGAATAGCATAGAATAGCATAGAATAGAATAGAA